AGTGGTACTAGGTGTCTGAAATTGGAAAATAAACGACGAAATTTCTTACTCGAAACTTAGCAAAATAGTGGAATAAGACGACTTTCATGCAAAAGAAACTGCGTTAAGATCTGCCATGTGAGTAAAGTTTATTCTATTTTTATTATTTTCAAAGGAAAAAAAAAACTTTTTCAAACATATATATGGGATCAAAAGGTTATAGTAATACGAGAAAATAAATGAAACAAAAGTTAAATAAGAAAACTCTTTATCACATACGACCCAAAGCGTGAAAAGATGTCTAAACTATAAAAGTCAAACTGAATAGAATCAGTATCTTACAAAGCATAGTTGCTAAAATCCAGTAAAATATATCAGAATGTTCTTCTGTCTGTTGGATGACACAGAAAACTCCGGTGCAGTATATGCAAGAAGCACCAACCTTGATCGTAAAGTGAACAATCTCTCCTGGCTTTCATCATACAGGATTGTCTTTACAGAGTGTCTTGTCAACACTTTCAGTTAAACAATCTACCTGTTTATCTGATAGCTTCACCTTTTTATGCTGAAAAAGGCAAAGCCTATCCTTGTGACAAAGACAGTAAACCGATTATTATCATCACTGAGCACTTTCGTACGAGAAATTTTGAGTTTTAGAAAACACAACTCTCGATTTTCAATTGTTTACAACGTTGCTTTATGTATTAGTGTGACGGTATCATTGAGGCATACTTGTTCTGACGTCAAAGTATATTTTTTATTGCAGATATATCTTAGATAAGTACCAAATTTTACAAATTTATCTACACATTCCTTCTTGTTGTATTCGTATATCTCATCGAAAATACCTTGTTTTGACTAAGTAGAAGGCAAATTTTTCGATTTTTCTTTACTCTGAGATGAATCTCTCGTACGAACTATAGAAGATGCCGTAAAGCAAGCTAAGTTTACTGATAGTGTATTGTTTTTATGCTGAAGCGCAGAAAGAAGTTTAACTGATTTTAAATCTTTCCAATTATAGCATTTCCTCGCCAATATTATAAGCTGTGTGCAATTTTAATCCATTATTATTGACATAAAAATTATTGAGACAAAATTTTTTTAGTTAGTTGTGCTTTTTGCTTATTAACATTATTTAGCCAATGACACCTCAAGACTTCCACGCCAACTGTGCCACCGTTACAAAAAAGCAACTTTCACAAATTGTATTGCAGTCATTAGGAAATTGTTCCATTAACATATCTTCGAATATTTGCTTTTATGATTACACTATCGATCGTACGGTTCTTTATCTGATTGGCTTTCACAAAAATCAATTCGCCGAATATTAATATTTGTTTCTTCACTAATTCTAGGGACTAACAGGATAGTTTCAGTTGATTTGAAACAATTAATGTTGTCGGACCTTGTATAACATCGCTTTAGTTCCCGATCTTCTTTCTTTCATACGTAATAAAACATCACTAATTATTATAGTAGCAAAAGTAACATCTTGTATGCATTGTTCGAAAACATGCACAAAAATGTTTTAGACATACTTATTAGAAGTGTCACTATCAGAGAAAAGTATTGTCGATGAAGTTTAACTGTTATTTTTTACAGCAATATTAATATGCCTGCTGAAACTCTTCTTTCCGAAAAATTTGTTTTGTGCCTTGTGAAGCTCAGCGCGTATGGACTTCATAGTCAAATCATCATATGAGTTAGAAACTGTCAGGTTACAATGATGAAAGAATTTCGTCACAACATATATCCTGATGCACAGTTCGAAGTTGATGAGCTTTCCAAGTATCGATGCTTTCTCTTAGTAATTTGAACTTAGATACTGTTCTTTTTGCATAAATTCTATCTTAAATTGAGTCATTCAAAAGTGCTTCGATTTCTAAAAATTTATTCTTCTACAAAAGGCAATCTTCGCATGGATCGTTGTCATCATGATGATCGCACCTTACACAAAAACACTCATCTTTTGTACCTGACAGTGCATGCATAGAGCAATGGTCTGCTACTATCGATGCATTAGAAATGTGTATTTTATTATCTGACTTTAAATATTTTCTGTCTTGTTTCAAATTATCAATTAGTCTATTGTGTTCTGAGGTGTGTGACCCTGTATTGTTAATCATTTTGATAATGCTATCGAAAGCTTCGTCGGGATCAGCATTATAGTAGTCAATGTCTGCAAATAATCGTCTAGTATTAGCTTTACAGATGTTAAGAATTTTGAATAAACTACTCATTCCTAATGGTTGAAAACTTATGCATGTTTCATTACAGCAACAATAATATTGTTGTATTATGTGAGAAGCAATCTGATTACTGATTGTATCTGGAACATATAGTTCTGTACCATCAGTCAGTTTTATTGTCTTCTCACCGAATGGCAAATCGGTACAAACTAGTGAGGATGTTATAAAGTCAGTAAAATGTTCAATTTGTGTATGATCAAAACGTTGAATCATAGAAACTTTTGACTCAAGTATTACTCCTATGCCCATCGGAGTAGCATGCAGTTGTGCCGACATGACACGGTACATAGTCAGACCAAGGATGAAAGAACAAATCATTTTATGAAAATTTTTTGGCGCAACTATACTCAAATGACTCTTCGTGTCGGCCAATCGTCAACGTTGTTATATACTGATACTACTCCACACATTACTTTTATAAAACTTCTATCTAAAAAGTAAATTATGTTGTGTTTCACCTTCGTGCTAAAGATCTTCAAGAACTTCGTCCAAGTCATTCAGTACTAGCATTGATAAAACAGATTTTACAAGTACTCGAGTTCTACAAAAAAATACTTTTCCTTCACTCATCCATTTCATAAACGCTTTTGTTATCCAAATCTATATTTACAGTTACACTTTTCCAATAAATTATTCAGATAGTGTCGTTTTTCGTCAGTTAACTGTTTAGTTCTTGTCTTGTTTGAGTTAGAAAACAGTGTTGATAATTAAACGGTAAAGTTCGAATCAGCATCCTTGTCACTTTCATTTGCATCCTCGCTCTTTGCTATCAATTTATTCAACTAAATTGATTTTTCTGCTAGAAATAACTTTTCTCTATTTGTAATAACTCGCAATTTGCCGTACACTGGTCATATATTATATTGCAATAACTGTTTGATACTTCGTACGTATAACAAAGTGCATTCGCTTCTTCTTTCGTTATATTTTTGGGATGATTGGCTCCCTTATATGCGGAACTTCTTTTCATAACAGCTTTACAAATCGTACACTTCCTGATAGTACTTGAATGTTTTTTGCTTCACACAGATGCTTCAATTGATTTTCACACGCCGCTATTTTGTACCAATCAACTCTTTTTTTTGTACATATATCGCTTCAAAGAAGAACTAATTCTAATGTGCTCTGACAATCAGAAAGATAGCATGGGTTTTTCAGTGGATTCAGAAGTTCAGAAAAATGACGTAAAATCTAATTAGAGTTACAATTTGTATCTGGAAAAAAGACACATTCATTGGTAGCATTCGATGTTGTAGCTGCCATTTTTGTATGTATATTACGTTTAGAGACTAATAAAGAACATTCTTTCTCTGTAGTTTTACGAACTTCCTATGGAAATTTTTGTTATCTTTCGACAACAATTTGCTCTTACGCAAACCTTTAAGCTTTGATATATAAATTTAATGAAAAACATTCTAACAACTAACTTTTCGAACCGATGAAATAGAAATTCAGGATTGGGAAGTTAGATGATAGAAACTTGATCCTAAATAATTTCGTAAACGAAACTAATACTTCTACTCGAAAGAAGAAGAGTCTTAAAATACATAATTGAATTTCAAAAGTAAGTCTGATATATGAATGATAAAATATAGTTTATGAAAAAACCTCGACTATCCTATTGTAGAAAACAATCGTGATCTCAGATATTCTTATAAATAATAACAAAATCAAAAGAAAACAGCTACGACAGGCCTTTTTACGATATAACACGTGCTAGCTCGCACTGTAGTTGCCGAAGAAGAAAATGAATGTTCAACATTGTAGGCCGTTTCGTCCATACATGCTATGAAAAATGAATATATCACGATTATCGTTCAAATGCTTTGTTATGAACTATATCTCGATATCTATTTTCCTCTCCAGCCAATATTGATCTCTTACATATTAGAAATGAACTCAATAGAAAATTAAACGAAATTTTCACTTCTTTAAAAAATGTCATCAAATTCTTCTAGATTTCAAATGAGCTCAGCCATCAATGCAGTCTGTAAAATGCTTGAAGATTGTCGCCGGTGAATTCCGACAAATTACAATTCATTTCTAAAACATTACCTCTAGTTAACTGTCGAAAAAAAAATTTGGGAGATCACATGTCTAGATCGATTTATCTGTATAGAATTGATCTAGATATTTTATTTCTATAATAAACATTTTCTTTTGCATGAAAGTCGTCTTATTCCACTAGTTTTCTAAATTTTGAATAACGACTTCCGTCATTCGTTTCCCAATCGTAGACATCTAATAATATTTTTTTTAAAAAAATTTTTTTATACTGATTTGGTAAAGCATAAAATTCTCTACAAGGCGCACAATTTTGAAAATCGTTTTCTTTTTCAAAACGAAGACTGATGTTTGTGTTCAGTTTTACGAGTTCTTTCGAATGTGACGTTGCTCAAAAGGATCAGACAAAAATATGGCGAAGATATAATCAAAACAATGAAAAATGATTTCGTTTTTATTTTCTTAGACTCCCCTATGTTTCACCATCTACAACTTCATCCAATTATATCGTCGGAGCCTTAAAATTTTTTAATAACTGCAGTTTGATGTAAGAAATCAATTGATGTAAAAAGAAGAATATATAATGTCCGACTATAAAATCGACTTTCTTGATACGTTCGTGAAAGCTCTCTTAAATATTTTTTGACATTTTTCTATTGAATGATTTGTTTTCTTTATGTGGACGTTTAATTTGCTTTGTTTTAGCATGAAATTCTTCATATGTTGTAATAATATATACAAGAAATGAATAGATTTGTAAATAATTATTTATTCAATTGGTTTGTCTGATAATTTATCATTAGTATTACTATTTGAATAAATATCTTGTTCGGATTTAAATGCACGTTTTTTTTCTAAAATTTTCTTTGTTTCTATACGTTTTGCTTCTTTTCTTTCACTTTTTTCTCGTTTATATTGTGCAACAAGACTTTGATCACCGTTGTAATAAACGTCAAGTCTTTCTTGTAATTGACGAAGTGCGAGAAAACGATTTCTTTCCATAAAACGAGTTTGTTGACATGTGACAACAATACCTAAATAATAAACATTTTAATTTAGTTATATGATAGAATATTCCCTGGAGGAAATTTGTTTTCAACAAACTATTGTAATATAGTTAAAATAGTAGAATAGGTTTTTTTTATATATGTTTTTTACCCGTTGGAATATGTTTTATTTGACAACAATTCTGTGTTTTATTTATTGCTTGTCCACCGGGTCCTGAGCCTTTGATAGCTTTTTCTTCAATATCTTTTTCGTCTACTGATGGTAAACGTTTATACCAACTGTCAGGTAGTGCCGTTGAGATGAAACGATTATTGATAATTGATTGACTATAACATACAAGCAAAAGAATTAATCTTTAATTCAACTTATTGTTTATTTTAAAGCGTATAAAAAAAAAGATTCTCTTTTTGAAAGGGTGAAGTTAGTTAATGCTTGACACGAATATATTTATATTTAATAAAGACAAAATCCTGTTTGAAAATGAATCTTGTTTAGACTCAACTTAACAAGAATTTGTTTGAAACTTAGATGAATGGAATTATGTATTCACTTGCAGTCTTTCTATCATTTTTAGTGTTTCATGGAAGTTGATAAATATTTTTGAATATTTTGAACAATATGAAAAATTTTCAAAAATAATAAGAAAATAAATATTATTTTCAGACAAGTCTTCAATACTTGAAGGTATCACCAAAGCTTTTAAGAACTCTCTTCTGTTTTTGAAATAAATACACAGACTCACTGTTTGTTGCATTGTATAATGAACACATGATGAAATCTCAAATCATCTTGCTATTCTTCAAATTATAATGTTGAAAATGTCTCTTGACCTATTCTATTAGTTCTTAACTATCAACATTGACTGACTACCAGACATGCACTGAATTCAAACTCTAGTTCAGTGTTTGGAAACTATCCAATCAATTCAGACAATGTTGAGTATTTAAATAACTACGAAGTATTTCTTGACGTAATTATGAATGAAGCCTAAGGTTCGATCAAGTTCGAGTTCGAAATAGTGATGAACATGGTTGGCTGCTTTTTTAGGATGACTGTAGCCTTTCAATTTTTGGATCATTTATTCTACTCTCTGTAGATCTCCCATAACCAATCCAGCAAAAAAATTAATTTTTAGTTAGTTCTTTAAGTTTAAAAGCAACATATTGATATGTCCAACAAATTTTTATTTTCTTTGAAATTAAGTAAACATTCAATATATTTTAAAATTGACAAGATTTCATCTTTCTAATTCACTTCTAAATTCTTACCGTATGCTTAAACAAATAACTCGACAAAAATATTTATAATAACATAAATTAAAATTCATTATTTAATATCTAATAAATAAATAAACAACAAAAAACAGAAAGATGATTTTTCTCAAGTGCTTTTTGTTTTCCCCCGATATATAGAGCATTTTATTTTGTATTTTAATAATATAGACAAATTCTTTTGTTCAATTAAATAACAATCATGCGCAAAGAAAAATACAGAATAGGAGTATACAACAATTATGAGGAATGACATGAGCATTTAAAGAAACGAGAAAAAAAAGAAACAACTATAACTTTATTCACCGTTTTGATTTATTGATAAAGATATTTATGATAATGATATTTTAACTTGTTTATGAAATAATAATTTCATATCATCAGATAATTTTTCTTCAATAATTGTTTTTATTTTTAATTTTAATTTTTCAATATATTCATTTTTAATTGTTTGATCAATTGTTAATAATAATTCATCAGTTTTTGATTCTAAACGTTGAATCAAATCATTCAATCCTAATAATATATCAACTAATTCGATTTCAGTTAATTTTGAAATTTTGAAATCTTGTTCAAGACGACAATCAGCTATTGTTTCAATATATAATGAAAAAATTTTTGAATTAGCTTCATGTCGTCGATTTGATAACCAAAGACGAAAATTTGGTGTTGATAAAAAATGCTTATATAAGTCTTTCCAATCACCTTTTAAACCTGATGTTAATTGTGGTCCATATTGATCAAGTGTTTTAAGAAATTCTTCATTATCAAATTCTTTTATTATTGGTGGTTTACGATTAACTTGGTAATATTTACGTAATGGTAAAAGACTAACAAAATAACGTTCAAGTGGTATAATAAAACTTTGAGTTAATTCAAGAAAAAATCGACGTATTAAAGCGTTTTGTACTGTATCTGGACGTTGTTGAGAATTGGTTGATTGAAGTTTTTTTAATATAGTTTTATCGCGTTGTAAATATGGTTTATATTTTGTATATAAACCAGGTTTTATATCGAATGTTAAATGTGATGAATTATTATTTATTGTACGTGCATGTTTATAAGGTTTTATATTAGTTGAAAACTTTTTTATTGATGTTTGTTTTGTTGTTATTGTTGTTGGTTGTGGAGATGATGATAAATCTGTATTATCTTCAAGTTCATTTATTGTTAAATCATCTTCATCATGTTCTACAAAAAAAAAATTTTCATTTTGTTTATTTTTAGATCGTTCTTCTTGATTATCATTAACACGAATGATATGTGGCCATTCATGAAGAAGTTTAGCAAAAAATGGATTTGTTACACCGATGATTAAAGATGGTGGTGCTGGCATTTTAGATAATGACAATGAAGTTTTATTTGAAGATTTTTTTGATGAATTAAATGTTATCTCTTGAAATTCACTATTATGGATGGTAAAAAATGGACGGTAATCTGATGCATATCGTAATGGCCATATTATATGAACTAAAAAGAAATACAATCTATGAATGACATTTGAATAGTAAAACGGTATTCATTTAGCAGATACTTCATAGTAAATGTATGGTAACATTAAAGATAGTATTCCCTTCTATCAAAAAGTATTCTATCTTTGAATATGACATAATATCAGAGAATGGAACATCTGGTAAATGAATACAAAGTAAAATGTAGCATACGGAAATTACCTTATAATTACAAAGCAAAAAATAAAATGCATAATTTCTCTTTCAATATTATGAAAATAATTTGTATGATTATAGTAGGTACACTGTATCACTTAAAAGTGTCATTAATTATTCATCGAAATCGACTATTCAAATTTGCTAGTTGCGTCAAAACTAGAAAATGTTGTCCAAATCGCTTTTTTCATCGAGTAGAAATCATCAATGTTACCGAGTAAGTGTAATCAATATATGAAAATGACATCAGCTCGAAATAATTATGTGACAATATACATAGTTCAATGATTCATATAGTAAATTAAGCTTAATTGATACGCAAATGTGTTACATTTAGTCAACATTTTCGCTTATAAGAACAATGCAATTCAGAATTTCCATTTCATTCCATAATTCTGTATCATCCTAGTTGCTATTTATAGGAAATAAGACTATCGTATGTAGTACTCAATCTTTGATTGTCAATTTTAATTATTTAATTTCAATATATAAAAGAAAAAACAATTGATTATTAAACATTTTAAGAGAACGAACTAAACTTTTCTTAGCAAAATCATTTAATCATACTAAGACATATCATTTTTTCTATGTAAATAAAGAAAATAATTTACCAAGTGCTTGAACAGTTTGTGAGCAATATGTAGGAAAACTTCCAAAAATAGCAATTGGTTCATTTAATAAAATTAATTCCCATAAAAGTTGAATATGTGTTAAAACAGAAAATAACGATTGATAAGTATTAACATCATGTACAAATGGAATTAAACGTGGTAATTGTTGTTCATGTTTTTGTAAAAATTCAAATGATGTATATGAATAAATTTTACTAGTAGTTGAAATCTTAAACAAACAAAAAGAAACTCATACAATTAAAAAATGAAATATTCTATTATAATTTTAATTACTTGTTGTTGTTGTTTATTTGGAGAATTATTTGTTGATATTGCATCAATATCTGTATCATCATCAAGAGGCAATTTAATTGAATTACTATTATTTGAATGAGCAGTTGCTGTTATAGATTCATTAACAATTGAACGAAATTGTATCAGATCTGATGATGAAAATGGTTTATCGCCATGTGTTGGAATACGTACTTGAAGAACATTACCTAATAAAGGTAATAATAATGTTTTGCCTGGTTCTGGTTCAGGCCATTGACGATCCATTAAATGACAACATGTTTCTAAACTTGTTAAACCATATTGAAAATAATTTGGACCAAGTTGACTAACAATTGATAGAAATAATGATATAAATGGTAATTTGGATAAAAGTACAAGTGATTTTTGAAAATAACCACGTTTTACTGTTTTATCACGTATTTGGCGAAAATGTACATAACCAAATAATGAATTATTATCAACTTGTAATGCTGGTGGAACAATTGAATTATAATATTGATAATATGTTGGTAAATTTGATTCATGACGTATACGAAAATGATATTGTATATCACCAAGAAATGCTGAATTAGCATCCGGAAATGATAAATATGATAAATTTAATTTTTCTTTATCAGATAATTTACAATGATTTGGTAATAGAAGTTCTATTGATTGTCCTAATTCAAGATCAAATGTAACAACAGCTATACCATATAACCATTTTTGTAGACGATCCCATGGTAATAAAAGTGGTGAAGTTGGTACTGAAGAATTTGATGGTATAGATGATGTTATTGTTATTTGTAATGGAATATTTGATGATGATGAACTTGTTAAACGTGGTCGACTTAAACGACGTTCATTTGTTATAAGATCACGATCAGAATGAGAACGATGCAAATTTGGTGATGTTGGAGCAGGTAAACTCATTATTATTTAAATAGACTAATAAAACAAAAATAAAAGATATGCAATAAGACTTTTTTCCTTTCTGATGTCAGCGACAAAGAATTTTTTTTTTCATTATTCTATAGTTTATTAATATGACTACGGCAATGGTCAATAGTTTTAATAGACAGATTAATGCTGTTTAACTGTTTAGTAACGAAACTCGTTTATGCAGATTATAACTTCTACAAGGCAGTTATGGATTTAAAGGTCTATGAGAATTCATAGGCACTGTAAATCCAAAATCGTTCAAAGCCCTGTGAAACCAAATAGAAATCCGTAAAAGTATGTAGAATCCTTGAACCATTATCGCACTAGACAATAGCGATTATTGCTTAGGCTTTAGTCTTACAAAGAATGAGACGTTCACTTTTATTAGATCTATCTTATGATATGAAACTGCAGAATTATTTATAAAGTTATGCGAAGGATTCTGCAAGTATTGAATGTAAGAGTGTTCATTGAAGTTTAACGGAATCCGTTGCTTTCCTTTGATGTGTATATACCTTAATTTAGACTTCTATGAGCAAATTCACATCATTTATCTTTTTATCCTTATATAAGTAGAAGAAAGTTTCAACTCGATCAAATATACTATGCTTGAGACACAGGAGGCAATTCTCAACGTTTCTTTTCAAAAACAACGAAATAATAAGTAAATTTCGATGTTTTTCAGCGGAAACATTCCATATTATCTTGTTTTTTTGTCTTCTATAGTTATATATTAATTCTTGAAATATATTCAGTAGATAGAGGATATTTAAAACGAATACAGACCAGAAAAACAAAAATGAAACATCTAAAACATTTCGATCCCCCTAAGAACTACAACAAACTTTATTGTAAATTTTTTTTCGGTAAAAACCTCACATATTTTCTATTAAATTTAATTCTATAGTATTGATACTCTCTAATCAAAGATCTATACCAGTTATTTGAGACTTATGGAATCGAAACAACAATAATTAATTTTATTTCTTTGAAACAAAATCTTATAATTAATTCCAGTAGAAAAAAGAAAAACACAAAAGTGACTTACCTTTGTTAATATTCGCCAATAATCATGTCTACAATAAGGAAAAAGTATAGAAAATATCCGATGAATAAAAGAACACACATGACCTGTGTTTATTTCGTTCTTGTCTTTCATACATTGTCACAAAATACAAAACAAAATCACATAAAATAAAACAAAAAATAATAATAATAATAATAATACACACATTACACAAGAAAATACATAATAAAAGAAAAGAAAAGAAAAAACTCTTTCCACAACAAACAAAATGTAGTTAATAAAGAAATGAAGGAAAAAAATATAAATGTATACAGATAAATAACCAAAAAAAATACTGTTTCGTTTTCTTTTTCTAAGAATATTTCTAACGCGTTGTATTTGTTGTTTTATTATTGGTATTATTATTAGTCGTTTCTTCTCGTTGACAATACAATTCTTTTAATTGTCGTAATTCTTCAATTAATGCTTTATTTTGATTTTCAAGTCCAGTTACACGTTCTTCAAGACATTTTATATATTCTTTTTTCTTACGACGACATTCACGTGCTGCTTCACTAAAAATTAAAAAATAAAAATAAAAATAAAAAAAAACAAAATTTATAGCAACATTATTTTACCGATTTTTTTGTAAACGCATTTCACGTTTTCGAGTTGGATCATTACCTTCACCGTGTCGTTTTACTTGATGATGTGGATGATGATGATGATTTGATGATGAAGGATTTGAAGAATTTGATGAATTCGATGGAGATGGTAGATCAGAATTTGATGATGGAAGTAATTTATAATTAGAAGCTAGATCACTTGGCAAACCTAGTTTGAAAAAAAAATTAATAATTTATCATAGAGATGATAGTCATTACAGACACATCAATATAACTCAGCTCATGAGAGAACTATCAGAACTGTAATCTACTGTTTGAATTCACTAAGTCTCTGAAAAACCAGAAGAAGTCTTGAAAGGTTTTGTTACCATGGTGTAACGATAAAAATGAGAAAGAGATGTTATGACAGACTGGAGAAGTAGCTAGCCGCTACTCGGCAATGATGTTTATTAGCTACTTCACATGTCCAGAATGTGTCTATTGCACATTCAACACAAGCTTATATATGATAGAGAAACAAAGAGAGAGACGATACAGAGAGGAAGAGGAAGAGGAAAGAGGAAGAACAGTGAGTCGTGACGTATATATCGGCACATATGGGCCTTTGAAGTCAAGTCACGACTGTTTTACTGAATTTTCAACTCATTTTTAGGTATTTATTGAAAACCAAATAACGAAATTTTGATCTAAAATTTTGTCCATTAATAGGTCTAATGATTCTTAGAATAACATGAAAGTTTCTGCCAAAACGAATGTTCGTTTGTCAGGATATTAAATTTTTGAAAAATAATCGTTCGCCATGGATATATCAGAAAAGTCGAGTTTAATTGAAAATTCAACATCTTGACAATAGAGCACTCTTTTCGATGAAAACTAAGTACAACGGCCGTAACTTGGCTTCACAGATCCATAGGAATGAATCCTTATAGATATTTTCTATTCTTACAGCGCCTTTCGTTTGAGTTCAAACAGTAGACTATAGTTGGGATAGTTCTCTCGTGAGTTTTATTTTCGACTTATGAGAATATATGTCTCTTTGAGATCAAATTAGATCAATTTTAATTAAGATGACATAATTACTAAGCAAATATTTATTTACAAATGTATGATATCTTCGGATTCTTTGCCATGATTAATTCAAATTATGTAAGATTTGTTTTAGATTCAACAATTAGCATTAGCATTGAAGCTATATATAATAATGCTCACTAAATATTGAATTATTTATTGTCCTTTTATATGAAGAGAATTAATATTCTTTCGTTCTATTTCTAAAATAATAATAGAATAGATTTTTGTAGTAATCTAATATTCTATTCTTCTATTAAAATCTGATCATTTTTAATTTTTTTATATGAATGATAATTAAAAGTCAATATCTATGTGAAAACAACTTTTTCCTTTTAAAACAGATTGTAAGTTAAAATACTTTTATAAAAAAACATATTCATATCCATTATTCATTCGATTAAATTTAATTCTTCTTCTTATCTAGCTTAATTGTCTCTTGATTCAAAGAAAAGTATTTCATCTTAAAATTTATCTTATCTACAAGGTTATCTACATATATCAATATTAGAGATATTCATATTACTTGAAACAAAATAAGTTCCAGCACCATCTGGTAAATGAGTTGAATTTAAAGCAGACATAATATGAGCACCAACATTCGCCATTGACATTGAAATAGTTGAAAGACCGTTTATTGTTTCACGTGGATCAAGATTAATAGTGGTAAGTTCTAATCGAATACAACAATAATCATAGAATTTTTTTTTTGTTTCAACATTTATTACCTATTGGCTGTTGATTATTATTTGTTTTCAATTGATTAATTGTTAATGTATTTTTTGCTATAGAATAATCTTCTTGTACAGAATTATTTTCCACTTGTTCTTGTTTAATTGTTTCACTTAATAATTTTCTAAATTAAAAAAACAAAACAAATAGTAATAATAACAATAATAATAAATAATTATTTTTTATTTTTATCTATGTACTTAAATGTTGGCTGAGTAATAACTATATTTGATCCGTTATTATTATTGTCGGAATAAACTTGAATTGATCGAGTTACAGGAACAGCCTAAATGATTACCATGATAAGTTTAATTTAACTCATACTTATATTTGTATTGTTTCTATTTATTTAAACTCACCTGTAAGGTTTGTAAGGATGACGTTGTTGTTGTTGTGTTTATTGTTGGTGACAGAACAAATGAATTTGGAGTCGTTGTTATAATGGTATCACTATTTGATGAATGATTAGATATGGATGGAGAATTTTGAATATGTGTAAAAGTTTTGTTTTCCATTGAAGATCAGCAAATTTAAAATGGTCAACATACTTGAAAAAGAATAATAATCTCATTTAAAATTCAATGATGTATTAGAAAATTGGTTCTTTTAATTTAAATATAAATTATTCAAAAAAAAAACGTCTATGCGAATAGTTTACAAAATTTATGCTGAGTCAAAATATAGATTCTTATTTTGAAAAATATGTAAGAACGAATCATTGAATAGTTTCGATTTTTTTAAGAACAAATATTTTTGTTTTTTTATATTAGAAAAAAATAGATAGATGAATTTCAACTACTAAACAAATATATTTCGTTCGTACTTTAGCTGAAGCTTCATATGACGTCATGTAAGTGTCTATTTTTATTAGTTGTCAAAATTGAACAATAGAAAATTAAGATAAAGTTCAAGATTATCAATTAAAAATAAATAAATAAAATTTTCTATTTATTATTAGAAATTTTATTCATATTGATTAAATATTTCATTGATATGATGTTCAGAAATCAATGATTGTGGCGCCATCATCTTTCATCACTTGTTGACGACGTCCGCATTTTTCGTCTTTTAATAACTGTTGAACGAGCAAATTCGATCTTTACGAAATTATCCGCTGCAATTACATAATTCCTTTTGCTTTTTGGTTTTGCAAAATGTTTTTTTAAGTAGTATGTTACCTTTTTTTTAATCAGCTATTTGTTTTTTTGTATAATAAAAATCTATATTTTAAGGTATGCCCGTTGTTTCTATTGAAATTGATTGTACACCAAAATGTCGTTCAACAACACATTATCTAGATTTAATACGTGTTGCATCACAATCTATACCAATTCCAATAATACTCAATTATTTATGTCGATGTGGAAATTGCGCAAAAGGTTATTTATATATATTGATTTTATTATTTTGCAAAAATTTTTCTTATTTCTATTAGGTCATGATAAATATGGTCGAACGTTAATACAAGTATGCTCGGCTTTAACTAATAAATGGCCAATAATTGATTGGTTATTAAAACAAAAAAAAGTTGATATCAATGCAAAAAATTTAGAATCAGG